TTTTCATTCCCCGATGCATCGATCATAGCAAGTATATCGGCAAACGGTCATACCTGTAAACGGTCATCTCTGCTAGAAGACTGTAGTTGTTCCTCAGAAAGTACCAGTAGACATGAGTACAGCCTTCTGAAATCTCGCTCATTAGAGGCTGCTAGCTCCCCTTCGATGTTATCTTCCATCGGCAACATCTCTGTAAATTCTGCATCCCACACTCCATTCACCCAGGCTGAAAAATCAAAGTTTATTATATTACCAAGAGGCACAATAAATTGTTACTCAACATAGTTGTCACTGAACATCATATTTGCCGTACTCTGTTTTTAGACAAAAGTGTGATTATGCTTCAGTTACGGTAACTTCACATGTATGTTTTAGGGATGAACTAGTTGTTGAGTCCCCTGCCACTGAAAGGTCAGATCTGGCCCGCCACATCATTTGATGTGGCCCACAAAAGCAAATCAACCAGGTCAATTTCCAGGCTGCTTGCTAAAATCTGTACCAAACTTTGTCATATGTAATAAATAATCATGTTGAGATATTGCAAGCATTTTCTTGTTACGTTATGACAGTAACAACAGTTGAACAAACTACTATCCTTGACTTTTGATTTCAAAATGTGTTATCTATTAATTGTGTGCTGTATATGTAATAATGAGGAGGTAATTCAACATTTATATGGTGTCACACTCATAATGGCCCGTCCGAGGCAAACTGTGACTACAATGTGGCTTGCAATAAAAATGGGTTTGACACCCCTGCTATCAACCAATTGCACTAACTTTCTAAATGAGAAAAATTATGGAGTGGATGATCAATAGGAGATATTTTCTTTTTTTTTTTGGGGGTGGGCGGGAATTAAAAATCTCCTGTAGAATTACCAGACTGGTTTTAGGAAAGGAAGAGGAACAATGGACTCAGTAGTTCCTCTGGGGGACAAGATAAGGAATGCACAGGTTAATGAAGAAAGAGCAATGGCTGTCTTTTTTCATACAGAGAACGCCTATGAAATATGGTGTGGAGGGATGGCCTGCTCATTAAAACCACATTAACCCAGTCCTCCAACATCTACACTAGCTCCCCATCCAATAACGAATCCATTTTAAAATTCTTCTCATCAGCTTTAAGGCTCTTCACAACCTCGCCCTTTGCTACCTCACGAACCTCCTTCACGACCACACCCCGACCTGCAATCTAGATCTGCCCATGCCAACCTCTTCAGCCCTCCGAGCCGAACCAAGTACTGTACTGGGCCTGTCCTGGGGAGACAGAGGCTTCTCTATCGCCACCCCCTCCCTCTGGAACTCTCTCCTCAGACACACTCACACGCTCCACTTTTAAAACGGCACTAAAAACACAGCTGTTCAGATCTGCTTTTAACCTGTAATACACAATCATTTGTTCAGTTCAGTCAATTTAATCTCTCCACACACACACACACACACACACACACACACACACACACACACACACACACCGAAGAGGATAAGAAGTTGTTAACGTTCTTGTTAAAAATGTGAAAAAAAGATTTTGTAATTTTTTTAGAATAAAAGAAATAATTACTTTGACTCAAACTCAACAACGACACTGGAAATTACATCAGTGTAATAGTCTGAATAGACGCCCGTGGTGCCCTGGTCATGCTTAAAACAGAAGCAATTGTGGGGTTTTTGTTTTGTTTTTTGCTGTGAACGGCTGTTTTATCGTGTTTACAATAGGTTGGCCGAGAGTCAGGCATTGTGCGTGGTTCGTCTCTGACTTCACCCCTTCTGTCTATTTTCACGAAGTTTTAAATTTATTTTGTCACTGTTATCGTTCTTACCAGCCTAACCCGAACGACAACCCCCAGAGGAGGATTATTCATTAGTTTCTGGGCTGCTTTCAGGGTTCGGCTATCGCAACGCCAGTTGGACACACTTTGCGTCTTGTCAAATGCTACAATCGCGTCATCTACCTCTCTAAATGTGGAAAATGAATCACCAACGCAGAGCAAATCTCACTCCATCACAATAGCATTCACGGTCGAATGTAGTAAATATGGCACTGATTGCAGCTCTGTCGTTCTCGAGCAATTCACGGCAAAATAACGCTCGGTGGCCAAGTTGCCCGTCAGGACAAAATAACCATTTTACGAAGGAGAACAAAAGAAGAACATAGATTTGGTGCTTGAGAATACATGCTAAATTAGTGGAGCGTATACACTACTCCTAAAAGTAACGTTATTTTGCCTGCAATTGACTCGTATTCGCAATATTACCTTGTGGGACTTCGTTAAGATTCAAAAACCGCAACGCAGACATCAACTCCATTTTGAATAAAGCCGCCACAAACTAGAAGTTTGCACATGCGCACTAGAAAACCGTTTACTCGGAAGTTAAGTGGGACAGTGCCGTCATAACAAGCGCTGCGTGGTTAAGGTTTTAATGTTAGGTTAAAAAGTAATCTTCCGAAGATGAATAATAATAATAATAATAATAATAATAATAATAATAATAATAATAATAACATTTTAAGAGTCTTAATGTTAGGTTGGCATGTACGGAATAATTTTTTTAAAGGTGTAAAGGTGCAAATTGCAGATTCTTAGTGACCTTTTATTTTGAAATGCAACATCAGATCTGAATGAAAGTACCTTGGTGGGCGACTGGTTAGCGCGTCGGCCTCACTATGCAGAGGTGCTGCGTTTGATTCTGGCTCTGTCCTTCATGTGAGGAGTAGTGATGTGTCGTTCGCGAACGAACCGGCTCTTAGAGCCGGCTCTTTGAAGTGAACGACATGAGCCTGCTCCTAAGAGGGAGCCGCTTTAATGGGAGCCGACTTTTTTTATTCCTCCTGTTTTTTCCCCCTTTCGGTTAAAGCCGCACGTGATTGGTCAAGATCCGTGGTAGAAGAGGGAGGGGAGGG